GTTTTTTAAAATCTTTCTGCAGGTGGAAGACTGGCACTGCATAAAGTATTCCATATGTGATCTTGCTTTGTACAGTGGCACTAATACTTCCCTCCATGAACGAGGGATTCTGTTTTCCTTTCTCATAGCTGTAATAAATTTGTGGATCAAAGTTCTCCTAGAATTAAATAGTTCCCATGGTCATTCTCCTTTCTTGTTTCCAGTGGATAAACTCTTGGTGTATTGTAGAAGTTTTGTTACTCTGTAAATGTGAGACCTCTTTAGTCTGCACTAGTAGATTATTACTCCATTTCTTTACTCCAGATCTTGATCATTTTTTTTCTGTATGATTTTCTGTTTCCTCTGCTGCAGATTTGGAAGCTGAAATTGCACAGGAAGAAAGTGACTCATGTGGAGTTTAACTCCCGATGTGAGTGGTTGTTGGCCACAGCATCTGTGGATCAGACAGTCAAAATCTGGGACCTCAGAAACATCAAAAACAAAATGAATTTTCTTCATGTGCTTCCTCATGACAAACCTGTCAATGCAGGTGAGTTGAGATAAGGATTTCATTGCATGGATGTCTGCGGAGAATCCACTCAGCTCAGCTTTTATTATTGTAGCAATGTTAGCTTTTGCTCAGATTTGAAGTTGCACAGTAGCTAGTGTTAAAGCAAGGAAGGCATTGGGACCGTGTCGCCAGAGGCAGGGAGGTGGGTAGGGCAGCTGCAGCACAGTCTTAGACTTGCCATACAAACTGTGGCACTGTGCCTTGAGAGGTGAGTGTGGAACCATCAGCAGTGGCTGAGATTAGAAAACTGACTTAGTTACTTTGACAAAAGCAGAGCATGGAACTCAAACCTCTGTTTCTTGGATGCGGTTTTAGAGTTCATGGAAGTCCAAACTGCAGGTGTCTGTCTCCAACTTTTCCACTAACTTTCTGTTGTGGTTTAACCCCAGCCAGCAGCCAAGCACCACGCAGCCGCTCACTCACTTCCCTGCCCACCCAGTGGGATGGGGGAGGGAAGTGGAAAAAAAAAGTAAAACTTGTGCGTTGAGATAAGAACAGTTTAAGAGAACAGAAAAGAAGAAACTAATAATGGTAACGCTAATAAAATGACAATAGTAATACTTAAAGGATTGGAATATGCAAGTGATGCACAATGCAATTGCTCACCACCCGCCGACCGATGCCCTGTTAGTCCCTGAGCAGCGATCCTGCCCACCCCCACTCCCCCCAGTTTATTTACTAGACATGACGTCACATGGTATGGAATACCCGTTTGGCCAGTTGGTTCAGCTGTCCTGGCTGTGTCCCCTCCCAGCTTCTTGTGCCCCTCCAGCCTTCTTGCTGGGTGGGCATGAGAAGCTGAAAAACCCTTGACTTTCGACTAAACACTACTTAGCAACAACTGAAAACATCAGTGTGTTATCAACATTCTTCTTGTACTGAACCCAAAACGTGACACTACACCAGCTACTAGGAAGACAATTAACTCTATCCCAGCTGAAACCAGGACACTTTCCATTTGAACGAGCAAGTTCCTTTCTTTGCAATGTCTCTTTCTGTGATTCTAAAATGAGAATAATGATTCTTCTATGTAACCCAGCGCTGTAGGTTTCAGCTTACTGTTTGTAAAAGCTTTGCGTTTGTTTGAGACAGGTGAAGTCTTGTCTGTTGGGACACATGTCCGTATTCACATCCCAATTAAAGAAATAGCAATGGGTTTCCAATCAGAGAAATGTGACTTTTATGTTTCTTGTCAGTTAACAGCATTGTGATCTTTTGTTTGCCTTATTGTCCCCCTCTTCTAGCTTACTTCAGCCCAACAGATGGTGCCAAGCTCCTGAGCACAGACCAGCGCAGTGAAATCAGAGTTTACTCATCTTCAGACTGGACCAAGCCACAGCATCTGATCCCACATCCACATCGGCAGTTTCAGCACCTCACACCTATTAAGGTGAATTAAACCACCAGTCTGAGAGGAGTGTCATGCTTGGTGCTAGCAGCCGGCTCTAAACCAGAAATGGTCTGATTTCTGGTCAGGATACTACATTGGTGGGTGGATATTCACACTGCTGCAGCTCGCAGCAGAGCACTATTCTGAGGATACTCGTGTTCTTCAGACTGTGAGTGGGATGTACAAACTGTTGCTCATACTGCAGGTTGTCTGGTGTGTGTCAGTACGAGCGCTGTCCCTTTCTCTTAACTCCCCATTGCTGTGTTCTATGACTAGGCAACATGGCATCCTCGCTATGACCTCATTGTAGCAGGTCGCTACCCAGACCCTAAGTTCCCAGGGTACACGGTGAATGAGCTACGAACTGTTGATGTATTCGATGGAAACACCGGGGAGATGGTTTGTCAACTCCATGATCCAAATGCTTCTGGTATCATCTCGGTGAGTTGAGTACTGCAGCTAAAAGGACCGCTGTGTATTGAACCACAGCCAAGAGAGAAGTGTTAGGGACTAGAACAATAGGAGTATCCTCTTTACTTGTGACAGACTCACGCTCTCATGGGGGTATGGCTGCCAGCTAAAGCTGCTGACTCGAGCAGGGCTGGTCCATGGTCATCTGTGGGTTTTCTGTGATACTCTTTAGGGAATGTTGGGTTTTCCAGATGGTTTGTTGTCGTTACATAAGCCGTGGTGCTCTTATGACTCTTATATAAGCAGTGATGCTCTTACACACTGACTGTGTTTCCATTTTCAGCTCAACAAATTTAACCCTATGGGAGACACGCTGGCTTCTGGCATGGGTAAGTAAAGACAACCTGGGGCACTAAGCACGGGTGCGTTCCAGTCCCAGAAAAGGGCAGGCTTGTTTCTCCAGACTAAAGCGAGTTGTGAGTGAGGGTTTCCCAAATCCCACTTGCTAGAGGTCCTCTATAATTTCCTACATCTATAAAAGAGATCAAGACCTTCTTTTCATTCTTTCACCTTGCAGTTAGAAAACGGGTTGCTAGTCATCTCCGGTGAAATATTCCCGGGAGTGTGGAGTCCGGAAGAGTGAGGAGCCTGCCCGCAGCAGGGTGCTGCTGCCATCTGCCGCCCATGTAACAGTAGCAGAAAACGACGGCGGTGGTGGGGGAAGCCTTTTCCTGCTAGGCTGTACCCTCTCCCTTCGTTTAATTTATCTCATTTCCTAGGCTGCATAGCCAAGATTACTCAGTTTTTCGCAGGCTGTATGGAATTAAGGGAGTCGGCTGTAGATTTAGGTCTTAGACCTGTGACAGATGAGATGAGGAATTACTTGATTATGTTTCTTAATTAGATCAAATTTCCATAGCTGTGTGGAGATAACATCTGCAATAAATGTCTTTGCATCCTCTGTACCTTGGAAATATCTTAGAACAGACAAACCATTTTGAATTTCTGGCATTTAAGTGACATAGCCTAAGGTATTATATTTGATGTAGTGTTTCTGATGCAGTGTTTAATTTTTCCTCTCAGGCTTTAATATTCTGATCTGGAGCCGGGAGGAGATGGTGGCCAAGAAGCAAGAACATCTTTTGAAAGCGATGACAGAACAGGGGATTGGAAGCTGGAGTTTGTCCAGACGTGGAGGGCAGAGGCAGGCAAACCCTGGGACAAGTAAACTCAAAGCTAACTTACTGTCTTGGGAGCTGGAGGAGATGAGAACAAAAAGCAACGATTCTAAATCACAGGGAAGAAAGCGAAAAGGGAAGGATCTAGAGAACTGATGTAGTATTTTGATCCTTTCTGGATCACAGGGTACAAATTCAGTGTTGGCAATGGGCAGTATAAGCTGTGCAGGGCATTAGACTTCTACTTTGTCCTTCCTCCCTGGATCTGATCTTGATTCCCTGATTCTCTTTACTTCCCCTTCTAGAAAGTTGGGTCAGTACTCAGTTCCTCCTCCAAGTGGAGTTACCACCTGTTTTCTGAGGCACTAGGAAAACTTCAAAGATGTTCTCAGATCCTGCTGAAGTTACTGCTTCCAGCCTGCCACGTCTGCTTGTCATCACTTGTCAGAGGTTACCATCTCCTGCAGTCTGCTGTGGAGCAGCTCATGACAGGGTCCCCCGCCTGTTCTAGTCAAACCAAGCTGAGAGACCCTTTGCTAACAAGCTTAATGTCCTGAAAAAATACAGTGTTCACAGGGGTGAGATGATGGGTAGTTTGGGTAGCCTAGGGAACACCAGCCACCCCCATGTGCAAGCTTCTTGGAAAATGTGCATCTGTCAAGACCTCAGGCTTAGCCTGTTCTGTGCTTGCAGCTATTTAACTAGACCACGAAGAACATGATGATGCCAGAGCTATTCACCTGCCTCATGAGATGCAAGGGCAGTACTGAGCTGGGAACCGATTCTGTAGTTTCTATTTTCAGAGCTCTGGGCTTTTTCTTGCCACTGATTAGGCAATTTTTTTCACCCACACCTATGTGCTTCAGAATGTTGTAAAGCAGAAATGAGGGATTTCTTCCAAACACCCCTGCTCAGAGCCAAATCTCAAGACTGCTGTTAAACTGAGAAGTTGTGCTTTTTCTAGTTCGTTTACAAGGCTGCCTGGGGCCTTGCTGCTGTCCCAGAGGTTGATGGATGGGATGGGCTCAAGGCCTGCTCAGATTCTCTTATGTTCACTTTTATAGTTTCACAGTATTGATATTAATAAAATTTTGTACTAAACTAAAATTCTTCTTTGATATAGAGAGTGGCTGCTTTGAGCATTCTGCTGAACTGCTTTTGTATGGGGGAAGAAGCTACAGACCTTTCTGCAAGAGGGCTGAGAGACCTAGAACAGTGGTAGAAATATCAGAGTGCTGTGTCTGCAATGGACCCTTCCAAGTTGGACGGGTTGCATTGTAAGCTGTATCTGCGCATGGTCGCTGCAGTCAAAAATAGTTTATCTCAGTTCTCACTCAGCTGTAAGTGGGATTGTAAACCAGGGAATTACTTTGGGAGGGGGTATACTGCAGAAAGTTCTGCCTGTTTTCCAACACTGAGCATACTGGTGCTAGCCCTGTAAACTCTTAGAGAAGAAGAAGAGTAGAGTTCAGTGTGAATTTGATTTTAATAATGAAAAGGAAATGTATTGGAACAATTACAGAAAGTCATTCACAGTCAAAATGTCTAAATCATCATAGGAACCTTTCCTCTGTGTGTGCAAAATTTGCTGCCTTTAAAAAATAACAGGTCTGGTCCTCTTAAATGCACTTTCTATTACCTCTTTCTTGTGCCTGTTCTCACAGGCAGTAGCTTTTTCTTTATGACTGTCTTGCTGTGCAGGAGACCTAGATTGTATCTTCAGAGGACAAAAAGGTGAGGAAGATGCTGAGAACAGCAAGCTGCTTCTGCTGATTTAGAGTTCCCGTGCTGGGAGATGCCGATTATGGTGTAGGGAAAAGTCCCCACGGTACTCCATAGGGGAAGAAAAGGAAACGTCTGTAACCTAAGAACTGGCTTCTTGCCGCCAAGAGGGGAAGGGAACTGCACCAGAAAGGGAAGTAAAAGCAGGAAGTGAATGTGCAGCATCACCATGTGAAGAGCCTGTGCTTCTGGTGCCTGCTGCTGTCTCTCATTTTCTGCCAAAAGCTACAAAGCAGGTGGTGAGCACTTGGCATGAAGTTCCCTGCAGCAGCTGCAGTGTGCACAGAGGCCAGCCTGGAGAAAGAATCACACTTTGGACAAAATGCCAAAGCGTGGCAAATAAGGGCATCCACACTCACCTGCAAACTCATCCTTAATGTTTGTTTGTTGTCCATCCAGTAGGGAAGATAGATAGGAAGAAAAACTACAGAACTTGGCATTTAACCTAGTCTTAGGTAAACAGCTCTGCTACATCTCTTTAATTACAGCATAAAAACATTCCGCTAGCACAGCAAATTCCTTGGGCTTGCAGCTGAAATCTGGATTGCCTGCCGTACTGGGTACTCCCTGTAATAGCTACTTGAAGTTCAGAGGTGGGGAAGTCAAATTCAAAGGCTGAATCTTTAGACAGGGCCCAAGTTTCTTACCTATGGGGACTCTCCTTTCTAGAGCCAGCACTGCACAAGAAATTGGGTGCAGGTTTGCTGGGGTCACGGGTATTCATATCTCTGATGAAGCTCTTTCTTAGAGCTTCTTTAGATCATACATAACCTAATCTGAGCTGAATCCTAGAAACTACTGCCAGGTTTTCAATCTTATCCTGACTCCAGGCCAGTCCTCTCTTGAACCACAATGTGAGGAGGGGAAAAAAAGGACCAGTTGCCAGCAACAACTACTTGGCAGCAACCTCAAGAAACACTTTTCACTGTCTGCCATCATCTGCAGCAGTTCCCTCTGCATGGACAGTAGGTGAGTCTTGGTGCGTTGTTGGTGAACTGCGCCCTCTGCTCCAGGCCCAGCCTTCCCACCATCGTCAGCCCAATGGTGTGAGAGAAAAGCACTTGGAGCAGGTTGACCCTGAAGAGAGATGCAACTCCTGACTGCACTGGATGTGGCAGCTGCTGGAGGCCCAAGCCCCTCTGCCACAGTCATGGTGAGTGGTAACATTTACAGTCACTTGAAAGGAGGAAAACTCTTGACCAGCTCCAACTGGCCATGTTGGGAATCCCAGACTAGGTAAGCTGTATGAGGACTGGGGGCACCACACAGTATACTGCCTTCAGAATTAAGGTGTCATTTCCATTAGAGTAGCTTAGTCCTCTCTTTCTGGGACATCACCTTGAGAAAGCATCCAAAAATCAAGTCCAGCTTCATTCTGGGAAGCAATGACCAAAGCAGAAGAATGCTCAGTAACTGAAGGTGCCCAATCATCCTTAGGGGCAACACTGCTCCCTCCTACTGCCTGGGAAGGAGTTGAAGCAACTGTCAGGCCTGCTCTTCTCCGTCGTTGGAAACGTGCCGGTAGCCAGGGGGCTGAGACTGTATGCGAAAGAGTACAGTCAAGAGGAGGATTATAAGGAGGAGAAGAATGGATCCACACACAGCCAGACCCACAAACAGTTCTGCAAGGGAGAAAACAAGTGGTCAACATGGTATCGTCCAGGCTTTCCCCTCCTGCCATGCTCTGGTCCAGCCTGGGCTCACCTGTGTCATGCACGCTGCTTGCTACCTGGCATTCTTGCTCCCAGTCCTGGGGAACAACAGGATCTGTGAGTTCCAAGAATCTCTGCAGTGGACACTTATGCTGACAGCCAGGGATTGTCAGTGGAAAAGGTTCCTTCCCACTCTCGTTCCGGAAAAACATCTCCACAGAGAAGTTACTGAAAACAAAACACAGCTAGATGTTTGGTTTTTTTCTCCAGCTGCAGTCATCCCTTCCCAAAAACTCAGGGTGCACACCCTTTCCTTCGTTCTGGTGGTAGTTTTCCTCCTAAGAGCCTGCCACTAGGAGCAAGATTGCATCCCCCTAGGGTGGAGTCTAGCCTAGGTATCTAACCCTTGAGGTGAAATCACAGCAGACATCTTTACTGCAGCCCTCACCCATCATCCTCTTGGTACAGCTCAAATAAATGACATGAGGCGTATGGTGCTTGAATCTTGTTGTAGACATCTAGAGCCATCTGCAGTGCCACAAGTGTGGTGTCATGCTGAGAAAGAGGGAAAAAAACCAAATCAGTCACCCTTATGGATGTGGCAGGGCAGCTCAGACTGTACCAGTAACGGACAGGGGACGTCACCTTTGTAACTTCCATCTGGAAGAAGGGAGAGGAACGGTCATTTGAGATGGTGCCAGAGAAGGGGAGGAAGTGAAACAGCCATATATATCCTGCATTGTTCTTTAAGAATTAACCTCTAGGGAGCGATTTGGGAGAGACGCTTGACTTTCCAGTCAGTAGGCTGCTGGAAAGGGGGGATGACTCTGTGTCTACACTGCTGAAACATCACATCTGAACAGCATCAACCCATCTACCAAATAAATACAGCAGTGGCTCCCCAAAGTCTGCCAGTCTCATCCACAAGCCTGAGCTAGCAGGAACAAAGCGCAAGTTGGGAATTCTCCTCAGGGGTCCCAGAGGAATGATGCCAGATACTGCACATCCCACCCAGCCAGAGGCAAAGGTGCATGTCCTCCTGATCACTGCATGGGCTGTAGAGAAGCCAGAAAGGGTTAAAACTATCACCACGCCCCAATCCCCTGTGAGGAGGAGATGGATAAAAGCTAGCCCCCAAGCTCTGACTTACCGCTGAATAGGCAAGTAGTTTCAGGTTCTGGTGGGCAGAAATATTTGCTGCTTTGGTTAAGTTCTTCCTTATGTGATTCAGCAGGACCCCTGAGGAAAGGGAACAGCTGGTAAGAGGCAAAAACTAGACAGAGCAGCATGAAGCTCCCTTCCTGGTGCACTCACCGCCTTGCAGACGAGCTTTTTCTACCCGATTGTGGATCCCAAAGAGAAATTCAAACCCAAAGTCTTTTAGCTGCTTCAAACGAGTCATGACATCTGGTGTCACCCATGCAGGCAAATCCATTTTGTGTGCTTGCTAGAAAGAGAAACAGAATACTCATCTGCAGGTAGCATGAATTGCAGATTAGTCAGAGAATGGGAGTTGGGGTGTCTGGAGTCTGGGCCATACTGCTACTGATTTCCTATATTATTTTAAATATGCCCCTTTCCTATTTATGCTTCTGTCCTCACGCTGCTGTGCTGCATGCAAAGAATATATGTGGGTTTTAATGTTGTTTCAGAAACTAATAATGAGAAGCATAAAGATTAAAATCTAGGAGCTACACTTCTGTGAAAGCACAACTGGAGCGCAGGGTTACATCATAACACCGATACAATAATCTTAGGGCATTTACTTTATGTGGGGCTGATTCTGCCCTGCAGATGGCATGCAGTCAAAAAAAAAAAAAAAAAGATAAGCGAGAGACCACAAACTCAAGGTTTCTGGTGTTCTGGTGTACCTGCAGCACAATTTCCCTGGAGGCTCTGAGGGCCACTGAATGCTAGCAGAGAAAGTTAGTAAGCGCTCTGCAGACATAACACTGCGATGCGTCACTGACAAAGCCCAGTATGCAAACCCAGAATACACAGAACTGGGAACCAAGAGAAAAACTTGCTTTGCAGCCAACCCATTACAAGAAAGGATTAGTTATACTGGCAGACAAACAGTAGTTGTGGTTCCCTGGCATTACTTGGAGCAATTTTCTATGCCACATCCCATTAAACTGCCAGAAGATGAGGCTGAATATCCTTAAAAGCCCATTCTGTCTGAGCGATTCAGAGAAACTCCCATCAGCAACTTAGATATTTAGTTAGTTTTTCATTAATTTACAATGAGAATAGCTGGTAAGTTCAGCTATTTCTCGGACTGTTTTATTTTCTCCATCCAGATGGCAGAATGAAGCTACTGGCTCAGGTGAGAAAAACAATCCTTCTCTTCAAGGCACTGTTTGTACGAGTTTTAGAAGAAAGGAGGAAGCCCAAAGCAGCTGAAGAGATGGATCAGCCTGAGGGTATAGTTTTGAGAGTAAACCTCCCCTTCCTCAAAACATTCTGGTTTCATTTCAGGACAGCAAGCTATTCTCCAAGTTCTTGGGGATTACAGTGGTTGTCAGCTGGCTCCTGGGCCCAATTTGGAAGCTTGTTAAGTGAGTCTTGAAAATGAAGATGATCTTAAATTCTTGATCTCTCTGACCAAAGTATTTTTTGTTAGTGACAGAAGTTGCTTCGCTGGGATTGTTACTAGACAGGAGATTGGGTTTGTGATACAAAGGGCAAATTTACATAGTGCAATGCAGCTCTGAACTGGAATATTCTTAGCTTGCAGCAAGTCAAGCTGCTACTTTACATAGCAAAGTGCAATTCCACACACATTTATCTTTTACATCCCCCAAATAGTACATACCACGGTATACCACTGCCAGCAAGCTAAGTAGAATTGCACCTCCACAGAATTAGCATGACACACTGTCAAAATGCTTGGGTTTACTGCTTCTTCCACAATTTGCTAGTTTGACATGAAAGATCTCTATAATTTACTTCATTGTGCTGCATAGTTATACACAAATAAACTTGTGCACAACGACTGTAAGTCTCCTGGATACTCCTGTAGCATTATTACAGCACAGCTAACCCAATTTTTGATTTTGTTTAAGCCTTCATGAGAAGTGCTTTCAACAAAACACCACATGAATACAGAGTTTGGTGCCCCAGCCCAGACAGCAAAAGGGTAACGTCTGTCTCTAGAGTCTTTCTCTGGCAAAGGTCAAAAACTAGATGTGGGTGAACCCCACTTAACCTAGAAAAGCATTATTTTCTTTTAGAGATGGCATTAACAGAAGCACAGAAAGAAAAGCGAGTGATCTAAAGTAACAGAGAGCTAGAGGTAGAACCAGGAATAGTCCTAATTTAAGCTCCCAACTTAAACCATAAAGTTAACGCTTCTTCAGTTTCCGGAGATCTCATTTCTACCTTATTTATAACTCAGACTTGTCCACAGAGATCTAAAGATTTCAGACTGCAGTCATTTTCTAATGACTTTCAAAAGAGATATTTATTATGCAGGTGGGACATTTTCTGGCTCTGGCATGATATATATCTAAGCTATGAAGTGGGAGGTTATAGGGTACAAAAGTAGGTAATTCTTGGCACATGCTTCTAGTGAGCGGAACTGTTATTATTCTGAAATTAGAACATTACTTCTAACTGTAGGGTGGGAACGGTGAGAATTTTTTTTACGGGATTTTGCAAAATAATTTTCCACCAAATCCAGTGAGTCCTAAAGACCAAATTCCCATGGCTGTAAGATGATGGCCCAACTTACTTCACAGAACAGTGTGTCATACACACTCCAAACACACTCGAGAGAGACATCCCGGATCCCAGTCTCGTTTGCCACCATCTGCAGGAATTGCTGTAGGTATGAGAAAAGAGAAAGGCCTTCAATTTTCTAATCTCGTACTGTATTACATGCACAGGTATTCCTACCCTTTTCTCAGAACTCTGATTATACAGAGGTGATAATACTTTAACTACAAGCCTAAGACCACCTTATCTCATGCAAACAATCACTTACCCAATTCTCTTTGGTCTTATTTATGTATTCTGCTGAGTGCCGTGTTTCATTCTGTAGCTGTTCATACCGTGGACAGGGGGTCAAAGGAAACTTCAGTAGCTGGGCAGAGACAATAAGGGCAGCTAGGTCACCGAGAACACTGAAGTACAGAATTTGCAGTCAACACGCGCGACTGTCATGAAACCCTGACGAGTGGGGTGCGTCTATAAACAGGCTCAAGTACTGCCTTCTAACATATTCCAGATGTGGTCTGCTGAGGCGTTGCAGCTAACATGTTGAGTGAACACAGCCCCTGAATTCTCGTCTTGCTCTGAGAACACAAGAACCTTTGCAAGGTAGGTCCCAGGAGCAGTTCAAGGCAATCTGAACTGAGACTGAAGCAAAGACTTCTGGAGAAGTTGGTGTAAAACACTATTTGAGTACATATCCTTGTGACTAACTTACCCTTTCCTCGGACTCGGGCACTGTGTGCACGGGGATAGGCTGCCAGGAGATGTTAGGGTTGAACATCTGTTGTCCCTCTGGGGGATACAGCCCTGCCAGATTGGTCTCCGCACTCATCAGCGTCCGATCACAGTCTGTGCTGCGGATGAAGATCTGCCAGGGACAGGGACAGTGCACCATTAGTAATGCTATCGTAAGCGGTGATGCTCGGACGCAAGACGACACACTTGCCGAGGAACATTGCCAAGTGCCCTGCAGCTGCTCACGGACAAGAAGATAACAGGAGTTGAGGTGACCCAGCCTGCTGATATCAGCCTGGACAAAACTGTAAGGACAGACACAAAGACAATTTGGTGTGTAATACTGGAGTGGTCTGTTCTGGATCAGTGGGATAGCCAGATGCACTGTGCGGAGGTTACAGATAGAAAGGAGTCTGAGTACGAGGAAAAGCCAGAGAAGCATGACAGAGATGCAGATAACGATGGGCACAGATAGGAAATGCGCTGTATTTACAGAGCAGGACTGGGGCAAACTCCTGCATTCAGTTCTCAGTTCTAGGAATGACCTGCTGTGCTCATGAAAAAAAACTGGCTTCTTCAAGCCTCAGTTTTAATGCCTGAGAAACAAAGACAAGAGTAATCTGACTAACAGGAAAGGAAGAGAAAGGGGGACCTGGGATTTTACTTGATCATTGTGGGCTCTTGGGATTAATGGTCCAAGACTTATCATTCCAGAGCTCAGAGAGAGAGATCTGAGCCAGAAAAAAGGGAAACGAGAAAAATAGAGAAAAGTTCAGAGGATCAAAATGGCAAAACCTTGGTATTCTGGTATCTGTGTGCTGAAAACGGTTAGGGGAAGACTGGAGAGAAACCAGTGATAAAACAAGAGGAACACGTAGGAAATCATGAAAGAATGTCCTAGAAAACAGCATGTTGAATCTGAAACAACAAGAACACAAAGCCAGAAGAATGAAATACAATGCCAAGATTGGGATTTTTTTTTAAATGTTAAATGAGGAGAGAGAAACATAAGAAAAAATACATATGCTCACTCTGTATAGCATCTCCCATGTGAAGTGTATCTCAAAACTTAACAGTCATGAGTTAAAAAAAAAAAAAAATTGTATTTTCTCTGACAACTTCTACCCACTTTTACCTCTTAACTGTGGCTTGAAAACAACTGACCCTGTACTCATTAGACAGGATTTCTTTCATCCTTGGTAAGCTCTGAAGAAATAGGAAATATTTTAAAAGGTCTAATTGTAGAAGTGTCATAAAAAACCAATTAAGCCCTGAGCATACATGCTTTCTTCAGCACCTTTTGCCAGGGCTCCAGCTTGTCGCTGAGTCAGGTGATGGACAGTCATATGGTGTCACCCAGAGGCAACACTTCTTATAAGGGAGGTTGCTCAACTCGAGCAGAGGTTTGGGCTTGGTTAGCAGAACAGCTTTTGTTTGCATACGCCTTGGTTTGTTTTTCCTTCTCAAGTAAGACAAGGAAAACAGTTTCAGCTGGCAAAAGCTTTTTAAGAGTGAAGTATGTTTGGAAAAGAACTACTGAGGAAGGTTAAAGGATCTGTGTTTGAGCTGATGCTGGAAGTTTTGTTGATGAAGCAAATGTGAAAGAAGGGATGTAATCTGAACTATGTCAAGCTGGAAGTTCACTGGGGAGCCCAAAAAGGGGGGAAACAAAGACAGAAAATCAGATGGGGCTTCTCAGTTTGCCCCATCTGGTCAATCACCCCAAGTGAGCTCAGATAAAATCACTGAACCGACACAGGACCAGTAGTGGGACAAGGGGTCTCAACTTGGCCCGCTGTCCATCCGAACCACATGACGGCATTCACGAAGCTTGCTCATGTTCTGGTTGACTCACACCTTTTTGATCAACCAGCAGGAGTATTTGAGGGTATTTTCTGTTTCCTTGCTTTTTTGGATCTTTCAGATTTCCCCCTGTGCTTAGCCCGAGGGCTCCGTTAACTTTTTAGAAATGAAACCGACCAGTTTCTCCAGAACATTTATAAAGCGTGGCAACATCCTGGCGAGAGAGAGAGAGAGAGAGAGGAACTGCTGTCTTTGGGGGACTGAAGCTGTCGATACTTTACGAGAGGGTCACTTCTGCTTAGTGACTGCTGCTTACACACAGACTCCCATGGGATCGTGACCGAAGCGTGCTGGGGAGGGGAGGGCAGGGCAGGGCAAACGCAGGTTGCATTCTCGTCAGCTGGGGTGATAAAAGAAAAAAAAAAAAGAAGAAAAAAAAAACCCAACCCCCCTCACAATCTCGAGGAAGAAACAAGGACCGGCTACCCCACTGCATTCCTGTTTTGTTCCCCCGCCATTCCAGAGCCGGCGGCTTTCCCTGTCTCACAGCGGGGCCGTTGCTGCGCGGCCTCCGCCGATCCTCTGCCCGATCCGTGTCCCGTCCCCGTCCCCCCCCCGCCCCGAGCCCCCGTTGCTGACCTCCTGCCGCCGGTACGTGTCGCTGAGGAAGCCGCGGTAACGCCGCCGCAGGGCCTGGCCCAGCTCCCACTGCTGCCGCATCCCCACCTGCAACGGCAACCGGGCGTTACCGGCGGGCGGCCTCGGCCGGTTCCTCTCTCGCCCGCCCGCCCGCGGACCCCACACGCACCTGCGTGAGCTGCCCGAAGCCCTGGGGCCAGGCGCCCTCCTGGAAGGGATCCCGCGGGTAGGCCTTGATGGGAGAGCGGTCTCCGTGCCGGTACACCTGCGGGCGGCACCGCGTCACAGCCGGCCCGGTCCCACCCGGTTCCCTCCCGCTCCCGCCCCCCCCGCCCCCCCCCTTTTCCCCTCACCAGGGTTACGAAGCGGAGGCTGCGGGGCCGGGCGGGCGGCGGCTGCTGCAGGCAGAGCGCCATGAGGAGGAGGACGGTGCCTCCTCCCCAGCCGCACCCCGCCGCCATGGCACTTCCACCCGCCGCCGCTCGGAACCGAACCGCCGCCGAACCGAGGGGGCCGCCCGGACGCAATTTTCCTGAGCACAGCGGAAACGTCGCGACCGGGCCCGGGTCGGCCGCCACTCCCCGGGGGGGGAGGGAGGCTGGGCCTCAGGCGGGTCCCCGGGGCTGCTCCCGCCTCCCGTGAGGGGGCGAAGGCGGAGCCCGGCGGCTGAGTCCCCTGAGGGAGCCGCGTACGGTGGTGGCGGTCGGTCTCCGCCGGGGTAACGTGCTACCGGGTGGGCATCCGCTGGATCCTCGGCGGCGGGCCTGGTAGGTGCCGTTTGAATAGAGGGGAAGAGCGTCGGCGGTTGAGGGAAATGTGTGATGTTTTGGGCTCGCCTCCGCCTCCCCGCGGGCAGGGGCAGGTGATTACGTTGCGGGGGTTCTGGCCGTTCCCTTTTCTTTTAAGAAAAAGGAGAGAACCGCGGCTCTCGCTTTCCGCGACGAAATCCCGGGGGCCGGGGGAGCCTCCGCGGCTCCAAGCCCAGCTCGTTTTGCCGTGAAGGGCGGAGAACCGGCGGCGGACACGGAGGAGCCCGGGACGAGGGTCTGACTCCCGCCGTGGCCGCTCTTTCCCTCACCCGTCATTAACGGGCAGGGTTTAATTGCGAGCTGCCCCCCCCTCCGAGGAGGGCGGGGGGGG